CCCCGCCGCCCAGCCGCCGGCCTGCGCGCCGCTTTGCAATGTAAATTTCAGCGGGACAAATTGCTTATTAATAGTCTAGCAGAGAAGCCGCCGCGTTCCTCCTGCCTTTCTTATGTGTTTTTATTTCTGCACGGCCCGGAGCGATGCCCCGAGCAGCCTCGCCGCCCAGCGGCTTCCTCTTCATTTCAATATCCGAAAGAAAATGCAAATCTCCGCGCTGAAAGTTAAATTAGCGACGGCTTTAAGCGAGTACATTAGTATGGGAAACGGACACGTGCTTGGCGCGGGGGTCGCCGCCTCGTCGCCGGACTCCTCCCGCTCGGCGCACTTAGCAGCTCCTCCGAGTTGGGAAAGCCCGGAGTCGCTGGCCGACGGGCGCGCGGACCGCATCCCCCGCTGCGCGGCCCTCCCGGGGACGCCGGCCAAACGGCCGCGCGCGGGGCCGCGCCGCCGGGGGCTCGGATCCCCGGGAAGTCTCGTGACGGCGGCCCGGAGGGGCTCGGGCCGCCTCGGCCAGAAGCGAGTTGGGCCCGGATGGGAGTAGGGGCCCCGTGCGTTCCCTTCCGCCCGCCTCCCCCCTCGTGCGCGCCGGGCCCGTGGTGTGTTCCAGGCGCGCCGAGGGGATGGGGGGGGGGGAGATAGCGGAGCGTGCGAGCGTCGGTGCGCAGCGACGCGGCCACCCGTCTCCGGCCACCGCCGCTTCGACGCCCGGGCTGGGGAGCCGGCCCTTCACACCGGAATCCTCAACCTTGTGCCGACGTTCGGCTTCCGGGCCAGGGCATCTGTCCGCCCTCGAGCCAATGGCGGTGCCAATGGAGTGCCCGTCCAGGAAGGAGTTAAGACCGAGGGCGTGCTGGACAGGTCTTGTTAGGATGTAATCTGCATTTTTAAACTAGCGCGTAATAAAAAGTGAGAAGTTTTGAGACACCTTTCTTGATTATACCTTTGGCGATACTTTAGGTTTTACATTTAATTTGCATTTTGTTCTGAGTGAATATTGAAGTCTTGAGTGGAGGATTGAATTTTATTAGGACATCTGGACTGACAATATCAAATCAGACACCAGTGGCCCAAAGCATGCTAAAATTTCAGAGTTAATTAGAACGCAGTGTGTTTAATTAAAGCCAATTATAATATTTGAAATTATCTGATCGATCCATGTTTGTACAGTTCGGGTCTGTGGAAGTGTCGATTGGCACACTTTGTGCCATTCGATCGAGAAACTTCTCTGGGGAAAGTTTGCTTTGTAAACTGGAGGGGGCGGGCGGCGTGGAACCGTCGTCCCCGGAGCCGGCTCCCGCTGGTCCTGGGCGCCGCCGAACGCAGCTCACGGCGAGGCAAACCCCAGGCGCGCCGCGGCTCCTCTCCGGGTCTGGGAGACCCGGCGACGCCCCGGCTGTCGTTCAGAGCCTGATCGCTCCTTCCAAGCAGTTTTCCCCCCATTCTTTTTCTTAACCCAAAGAGCGACCTTTAAGATTGCACGATGCCCTGGGAAAAGCCCGAGTTTGATTTGGGATCCTTGTTCTAGAACGGACCGGCCCGGGCTAGGTCGGCGCGGCGGGGGCAGCACCGTGACCGCAGGAACCCCAGAAAAAGTAAGGCCAGGAGGCGACGCGGTTTTCTCTCCGGGTTTGCATGTCGCTGGATCCGAGCGCGTGGATCTGGGCGTGAATTTCGGCCCCGCTCGAAGAGCCCTGGGTTTCCAGCGAGACGGAGGAGCTGTTTCGCGGTGGTGTCCGCCGCCCCGCGTGTCCGTGGGCACTTGGAGCGCTCGTTCTCCTCAGCTCTGCGCGCGCGTGGCGCTAGCCACGAGGGCCTGGTGCGGGACGCGGCGTGCCCGCGGGTGCACGTGTGCAACAATTGGGGCCGGGCGGCGCTCGGGGCTCCTACCTGGCCACCGAGGGCAGTGGGGTCCGCGAGAGCCGGGTCGGCCGCAGCCAGGAGCCGGCGGTGGCGCGGCTCGCCCGGCGCGCGGCACCTCCCTCTCCCCACCCCAGGAGGCGCTGTTTGTCAAACTTGGCTGCCCTGGCGGGAGGCGCCGCCGGCACTCTCGGGAGCCGGGCGCGCGCCGCAGGCCCGGGGTCGGGCGTCGGAAACCTCGGCAGCGCAGTCAACACTGGGGGAGGGCGCTGCGCAAAACCGGGAGCCCTCAGCTTCCCAGTGGTCACTTTTCACCCGTGAACCCCACCAGGCTTCCAGTCTCCAACCCCACGTGCGTAGGGCTGATGCCCACGGTTTTTGCCTTCGGGTTCGGGCAGGTCAGCGGCCTCCCGGGGGCGCCCTGGCTTCCGTTTCCCTTTCTCTGCGGAGGGAGGGCGCGAAGGTCCCGCGGGAACCACCGAATCTAGCTGGCGCTCAGTTGAACAGGTGGGGGCATGCCTGTGTGCACAGCTCCGGCTTCCATTTCTCTCTCCCTGCTGGTGACAGTGACCCCGTGAGCCCGGGCGCGCAGGGCCTGATCCCCTACCCGTGTTGGGCAGTTCCGCCTTATTCTTATTCTTGGGGAGGGGGGATGTCAGGGATTTTCTGGGTGCGCCTCCTCCATTCCCTCCGACATCCCAGGGCGCAGTGTCAGAGCAGCGCTCTCCTTTCAGACGGTTTCAAAGCCCTGCCAGGCTGGAGTGGGCTGGAGGCCCAGGTCGCCTCGTTTTGCGCGTGACCCCTGGGCTCCAAGACCCAAGGACTTGGAGACGGCCGCGCTTGCCACGCGGGGCGGGAACCAGCCGTGGGCCTGGGTGGATTGCTTTCCACCCTTTGCCCAAGGCCTGGTGCTTGGAGGCCCGTGGGTGGCCGTGGGTCCCCGGAGGCCGCCCCCTTGGGCAGAGCCTACCCAGCCCTCAGGTGCTCGGGGAATCCCTGCTGGGGCAGAACATGAAGTTTCTCTTCAGAAGGGTGGCAGGGAGGCTGGCCCGGGGGGCTTGGTGAACGGGATGCCCCGACGCTGGGCCGCGGCAGGCTCCACGAGGGGCTCGTGTCCCCCAAGTTGGCTAAAGTTTCCGAGTCCGTCCCCAGCCAAGCGCGCTCCTCCCAGGCCTTGCACCTCCGGCCTGGCAGGACTGAAGAGCTGTGGGGGGAGTGTCGTGGGGCGATCCCTGAACCACCCTCCCCGGGCAGCGGGCAGGAGCGCGGGCCACGGCTGGGGCGCGGGGTGGCTGGGCAGGAAGGCGGGCCGGGCGCGGGCCCCGGGAGGGTAGCCTGCTCCGCCGGGCTTGGCCTCCTCGCGCCCTGCCCGGAGCGGGGAGCTGCCGTCGCTGTCTCTTTAAGGTCACTGCCTGCTTCGGCACGACGTGGGGAGGACAGCTGGGCACTGGCCATCTGACTGACTCCGGCTCGACATCTGGGAGCCCACTGGTGTGTGGCACGCGAAGCGCTCGATGCCGCTATTTAAATGCAAATGCGAGGGGGCTCATTGAAGCCTCTCCCCGTAAATGCGCACAAAAGGAACACTTCCCACCCTCCGAGGCGGCGGAGGAGGCGACGGCGAGGGCCACCCGTGCAAATCGCGTTGGGCGCGAGGCCCGGAGGAGCCGGAGGAGCCGTGGTCGCCGCCCCCGCGGCTCTGGGAGCCCCAGCGAAGGCCACGCTCCGCCCGGCCGGGCCCCTGGCTGCGCTCCGGGCGCGGTGCGCACGCTCAACTTCCAAAGTAGCCGCTGCTTCCCAGGAAGGCACCACTTCCGCCCCGGCGTTGCCCGGAACCGGCCAGGGGCGGGGGGCCGGGCTCCCGGTGGGGGGGAGGGAGGAGGCGGCCGGGGACGCGCGCCCGGCTTCTCCCTGGACACTAACTAGCGGCCTCCTCCCGCATCTCTGACTTGGGTGCTCTGCCCCTCGCCCCCCCTCACCCCCGCGCCACATGGGAAGTCTGGGGGTGGCGTGGGGTGGGCTGCGCGCTCAGACCCCTCCGCAGTAGGCCGGGGCGGAGGCTCGGCCCGTGAGCCCTGTGCTCCCAGAGCCTGCAGTAAGTGACAAAAAAGATAAAGTTGGTGAATGATAAAGACCGTATTTTCCACGCTTTGGGTGCGGGACCAGATGATCTAGAAAATGAGCTGAAATGGATTCAGCCTCCGAGCCTGTTGTGAGAGCAGCTGATTCTCCCATTTCGGGCCAGATGGCTGCTGAACACAGATTTGCATTCATTTTCGCTTAATATCGTCCAAAATAGTGGGGCAGCTGCATTTGTTGTCAAAAAGGTTTAAAACCCCTTTTCTTTCTGGGGCAGGATCGTTACCTTATGTGATGAGCTTATAGAACTTTTTTTTTCCCTCTTTAGTCAACAGTATCAGATTTAGAAGGATTTGTTTTTAAACCTTCTAATTTGGTAATCAGATTTAAATCGCCTTGGCGCGTGTAATCTGAATTAAAGATACTGTAAATGATTTTAAGCATGATACTTCCCCCGCACATGAGGACAGGGTACCTCCAGCCCAGGCTGGACATGAGAGGAAGTGGACCACAAAAGCAGCATTGTTTTCTGTTCCCAACATCATCTTTCCCTAAAAGACACTTTGCATATTCTGACTTATCACCCTGGCCCCCACCATGAGCCCCCCCCAGTTCCCCCGCGAGCACCGAGCCTCAGAGCGCACGGAGACAAAGCCTTTCCCAACCCCACCCTCCACCCTGGGCAACTTTCCTCCTCCGTGATCCCTCCTCAAAGAAAGTGTTACCTCCTGCACACAGGTCTGCCGTGAGTGGGAAGTGCCGGCTTATGAGGACTACCGAAATTTTCTTTTAATTTATCGTGAATAGTTTCCATACACTTTGATTTAAGGTTATTAACATTCTATAGACAGTGGCATCTTTAATATGTGGCGATCGCTTCTAAAGACTAATCTCATTACCCTCAAATAGTCATAAAATATGATTTTATTATACTTACGTATTTAATTAGACGGCCGGCCCCGTAATGGATTTTGAGATAGGACTGGCGCAACAGCTTTGATAATTCACTTATCTTTGGCAATAGTCATTAACCCCAACACCAGCAAAATAGATTGCTTTCCAGCACATCTCTTCTCTAACCCCTTCCAAGAGGCGCGGGGAGTGTCCCCAGACAGCCTAAGTCGGACTTCGATTTTCCCGATTAATTAAAATATTAACGTATACACGCCGCCACACCACTAAAAAGAAGGCAGTGCTGCCCAGGCCCGGCGGGAGGAAGCTGCCCCACGACACTCGCGCCCCGAAAGCTATTTCCTCCCCGCCTCGACTCGCAAGGGCCTGGCTTCTCCCGGCAGGAAAGTGTGCGGGACACCTCCCGGGCGTCCCCTGGGTCTCCACCTCGCGCGGAGCAGACGTCCGTTGGGCGGGCCGTGCGCCTGGCGCTGCGCCCCGGCCGGCGGCGGGA